TAACTCTATTCAATTCTGTGAAGGCTGAGAGAGGTGAGGAAGCTGCAGAAGAAAATGTGGACACCAGTAGAGGTTGGCTCATAAGGTTTGTGGAAAGAAGTTGTCTCCATAACATAAAAAAGTACAGTGAAGCAGCAAGTGCTGATGGAGAAGCTGCAGCAAGTCATCTAGAAGATCTAGCTACGATCATTGATGAAAGTGGTTACACTAAACAACAGATTTTCCATGTAAATGAAACAGTCTTATATTCAAAGATGCCATCTAGGACTTTCAGAACTACAAAGATGAAGTCAAGGCCTGGCTTCAAAGCTTCAAAGAACAGGCTGACTCTCTTGTCAGGGACTACCACAGCTGGTGACTTTTAAGCTGAAGCCAAAGCTCATTTATCATGCCAAAAATTCTAGGGCTCTTAAGAATTATGCTAAATCTACTCTGCCTATACTCTATAAATGGAACAACAAAGCCTGGATGATAGCACATTTGTTCACAGCATGGTTTGCTGAATATTTTAAGCCCACTGTTGAGATCTACTGTATAGAAAAAACAAGATCCCTTTCAAAATATTATTGCTCATCGACAATGCATCTGCTCACCCAAAACCTCTGAGGAAGATGTACAAACAGATTATATGATTTTCATCCCTGCTAATACGTCCATTCTGCAGCCCATGGATTAAGGAGTAATTTTATCTTTCAAGTCTTATTATTTAAGAAATACATTTTATAAGCTATAGCTGCCATAGATAGTGATTCCTCTGATGGATCTGGGAAAAGTAAAATAAAAACCTTCCGGAGGCTGGGTGCAGTGGCTCACGCCTGTAATCCCAACACTTTGGGAGGCCGAGGTGGGTGGATCACCTGAGGTCAGGAATTTAAGATCAGTCTGGCCAACACGGTGAAACTCCATCTCTCCTAAGAATGCAAAAATTAGCCAGGCATGGTGGTGGGCACCTGTAATCCCAGCTACTCAGGAGGCTGAGGCAGAAGAATTGCTAGAACCCAGGAGGTGGAGGTTGGAGTGAGCCAAGATTGCTCCATTTTACTCCAGCCTGGGTGACAGAGTGAGACTCCATCTAAAAAAAAAAAAATCTTCTGGAAACGATTCACCATTTTGGATGCCATTAAGAACACTCATGATTCATGGAAGGAGGTCAAAATATCAACATTAACAGGAGTTTGGAAGAAGTTGATTCCAACCCTCATGGATGACTTTGAGGGCTTCAAGATTTCAATGGAGGAAGTAACTGCAGACGTGGTGGAAACAGTAAGAGAACTAGAATTAAAAGTGGAGCCTGAAGATATAACTGAATTGCTGCAATCTCATGATAAAACTTAAATAGACAAGGAGTTGCTTCTTATGGATGAGCAAGGAAAGTGGTTTCTTGAGATGGAATCTACTCCAGGTAAAGGTGCCTTGAACATTGTTGAATTGACAACAAACATTTTAGAATATTACATAAACTTAGTTGACAAAGCAGTGGCAGGGTTTGAAAGGATTGACTCTAATTTTGAAAGAAGTTCTTCTAGGCTATCAAACGGTATCACATGCTACAGAGAACCCTTTTGTGAAAGGAAGAGTCTACCTATGTAGAAAATTGCATTGTTGTCATATTTTAAGAAATTGTCACAGTCAGCCCAACTTTCAGCAACCATCACCCTGATCAGTCAGCAGCCATCAACATCGAAGCAAGACTTTCCACCAGCAAAGACTATGGCTCACTGAAGGCTCAGATGATCATTAGTGTTTTTTAGCATTAAAGTATTTCTAAATTAATGTATGTACATTGTTTTTTAAGACATAATGCCATTATACACTTAATAGACTACAGTATGGTATAAAACATAACTATTCTATGTACTGGGAAATCCAAAATTTGTGTCATTCACTTTAGGATCTTTATCGTGGTGGTCTGGAACCAAACTCACAATATCTCTGAAGTATGCCCGTACTTACTGAAAACAAGTTTTACAAAACAACACTAAAACGCTTACCATATGCAATGTGTTCCAATATACTCTAGTCTAGGCTAGTCTATTTCATTTTTTTAATGCTGGTCACAAGCCATTAAAATAATGCTACCAACCACGAATGGGTCATGACCACAAATTTAAAAACACAAATGTATTCTAACCTCTTAGGTCCACAGCTAAGAAAGCTAAGATTCAGAGAGGTTAAATCCGCGGTCAAAGCGCTACTTCCTGACAGAATCACGACTACCTCAGACCCAGGTAAATGATGACTGTTGTTACCAGTCTAATAATTGGGACTCACCTCAACTAACACCTCCTCTATAAGTCCTGATCAGAATTCACCTCTACCCATGACCCCTGCTGCCAACATTATTCAGGTTGCTGTTGTTTATGTCTTAGTTTTTTTAACACCCCCAGGCCTGCTGCCCTGATATCCCTGTGAACCTGGAGGCATGGTCTCAGGCTAAGTGGTCCCACAGCATTTTCCACATCACCAAACTGACCACTCTGTTCCTCTCCTCTACTGCTTCCTTGCCATGAACCACAGCATCCCCCAAGGTGGGCCAGGGGACTACCAGCCTTGAGAAAGCGATGAGCTTGCTAACTCAGCCAGAAGAAACCTGAAGGGCAAAGCTTAACACCACCTGAGTCCTGATATACACATTCCAAAATTTGGAAGACCTTGAAGAAGGGGGCCATTCAGCCCTATCCAGGCAGAATTAATCCTTCAGGGGTCTAGGGAAAGGACCGCATTTGAAAACCAAAGGGCAGCCTCTCTCACTTGGCCTCCATATTGCAGATTAAAAGATGATGTGTCTGGAGAGTCGGCTTTATGATCAAGTTTCGCCTTACTAGGTGGTGCACCCTGGGAAAGGGACAGGAAGAAGCACAAAGTGTGGGGACAATGTAGCAAGCAGACCCCAAATGCCTCTTCCACCTTCCACCTTAGCAACCTGCACTCCCAGCCTTCCTAGAACTCTACCCCATGTCTTCACCTTGAGGTTTCAGCAGGCCCCAATCTCTGTGGCTGTCACAAAACCATGCAAATCAAACCCAACTCCAATCAGAAAAGCATCTATCCTCTGCTTCACCCTCAGAGGTCTCAGACGTGCATTCTACGTCTTCAAGCTAGGTTTCCACACAGCAGCTTGAATATGACTATTGTAAAATCATATGTTCCGCGTCAATCACTTTAGGGCATTCCCAATGCTTCAAAAAAGAGAATCACTCTCTACACCACAGCTTCAGACAGGGCTTGGTAAACCACAGTTTATGGGCCAAATTGGGCCAGGTACCTGTTTTTATAAATAAAGTTTTATTGGAACACTGTCATGCCTATTTGTTTACCTATTGTCTGTGCTGGTTTTGTGCTACATGATAGAGTTGAGTAGCTGCAATAGAGACCAAATGGCCTGCAAAGTCTAAAGTATTTACTATCTGCCCCTGTACAGAAAAAGTGTGCCAACTCCTCACTTACAGAATCCTGCCTTTTTTTAATGGTGATAAAATACACATAACATAAAATTTACCATCTTAACTGCTTTGAAGTGTAGAGATCAGTGGTATTAATTACATTTGCATTGTTGTACAACCATCACCACCATCCATCTCCAGAATGTTTTCATCATCCCAAACGCAAAGTCTATACCCAATAAATCCCATTCTCCCTCCCCTCAGACCTGGCATCCACTGTTCTACTTTCTGCCTCTTTGAATCTGTCTACTCTAGGTATCTCATATTGGCGGAATTATGCAGTATTTGTCCTTATGTGTCTGGCGAATTTTACTTAGCATGCTGTCTTCAAGGTTCACCCATGTTGTAGCATATATCAGAAGTTCCTCCCACGTCGGGCGTGGTGGCTCATGCCTGTAATCCCAGCACTTTGGGAGGCCAAGTCGGGCAGATCATTTGAGGTCAGGAGTTTGAAACCAGCCTGGCCAACATGGTGAAACCCTGTCTCTACTAAAAATACAAAAAATTAGCCAGGCATGGTGGCGCAGGCTTATAGTCCCAGCTACTCGGGAGGCTGAGGCAGGAGAATCACTTGAACCTGGGAGGCAGAGGTTGCAGTGAGCTGACATCGCACCACTGCACTCCAGCCTGGGCAACAGAGCGAGACTCTGTCTCAAAAAAAATAAGTTTCTTCCTTTTTAAGGCTAAATCATATTGCATTGTATGGATAGACCACATTGTGTTTACTCTTTTGTCTACTGATGGACACAGGTTGTTTCTACTTTTTGGCTACTGTGAATAGCACAGCAACCTGCCCAATCCTCAAGTGTCACCCTACATCACACACCTGCTCTCTCCCTCAAAGGGGTCTTCTGTCAATTTCCTCAATGTGTCCTGCTTCCTACCACCTTCAACTGAAATGAGCCGTGGATATAAAATACACATTCAATATCAAAGACTTTGTATTTTAAAAAATGCAAAATATCTCAGTAATGATATTTTACATTCATTCTATGTTAAAATATTATCATTTTGATATATTAGGTTGAATGACGTATTATGATAATTAATATCACTTGTTCCTTTTCATTCTTTTTAATGTGACTACTAGAAAGTTGAAGGTTAATATATGCCTCATATCCTATTTCTAGGAGCGGCACTAGGCTAGACTCTGCAGGGGTTGGCAAACGTTTTCAGTAAAAAGCCAGATGGTAAATATTTTCAGCTTTGTGGGCCATTCTCACTCTGCCATTGTCACACAAAAGCAGCCATAGGCAACACATAAAGGAATGATCATGGGTATGTTCCAATACCTTTTATTTACAAAATCAGGCCAGGTATCAGATTTAGCCCCTAGGCTATAGGATATTAATCGTATTTTTTAAATGGCCAATTCTGAGAAAGTCTGTTCTATTCATTTTCTCAGAACCCTCTGTGAAAAGCTATTTTTCATTCAGCCAGAGTCTGGAACACAAGTCTGTTCCCGGCTTCCCTGACCTGGGCAGCTCCTGAGACCACGAGGCAGCCCCTCGCAGTCCGGGACTCGACAGCCCCAGGGCACCCACCGACCGCACTCACTTGGGCGTGTGGGCCTCGTCCACGCGGTGCCCCAGCTGGAACTCGTGGGATTTGCTCCGATGCAGCGCGGTGAACCCCGGGATCAAGTGTATCAGCTTTCGGGAGGAGGGTGGTGGGGTCCCCGGGGGCTTCAGCTTGTTCTTCTTCCTCATGGGCGGCGTGCCTGGCGGGGTCACGGTGGTGACGATGTTGGGGGTGCGCGGTGGGGTGCGGACCGCGTGCCGCTGCCGGGGCGATGGGGGCAGGGAACGGTGGCCCGACTCCAGGGGCGGGGGCGGGCACAAGCCCGGGTAGGGGTCCACGGTAAGCCTGTCCACGTGAGTGTACACAGGGGCCCCGGGAGTGGGGCTGGTGTGACAATAGTGCTGGACGCACTTGGACTGGACCCTGGGGCTCTGGGAGAGATGGGTGCGGATCCACGGGGTGGGCTCCGGGGGGCACACGGGATTGTTCTCCTTCCCCGTCTCTGTCGTGGGCCACTGGATGGTCCAGTCTTGTTTGGAAAGGTTGCCTCCTAAGTTGGAACAGAAGAGCAGAGACAATGGGTAAGCCATGAGAAAGCCAGATGAGTTATACCACATACACCATTACATCATACACACATTACACCACGTGCCCATTACATCATATGCAAGTTACACTATATACCTGTTACATCCTATGCATGTTATTTCATGTGCACATTACACCACGTGCCCATTACATCATATGCATGTTACACTATATACCTGTTACATCCTATGCATGTTATTTCATGTGCACATTACACCA